AGAAACCACGGCAACTTTCTATTTGAAAGTTTTGTACCTATTTTGCTACAAGTAAACCTAGTACTACCATAAAGTTATCAAATATTTTTCTTCACTACCCTCTCTAATTTGTGTCAGATCAGTTTTACTGTTACTTTATACTCTGCTAGCACTGAAGGCACTAACTAAAAAAATTCCTTGTAAACATTAACCAGGAAACAGGGAAACTTTTATTTAAAAAAAAGAAATAATATTCCGTGGTAACAGAGTTTTCATTTTAACTAATAATTGTCCTGAACTTCATCGTAATTCAAAAGGATGTTTTTCCTAAAAATGGAAGAAGTCCAGGAATGTCTTTGAAATCTTGGAGGTAACTTCCCTTTCAATGCCATTTCCCCTTTACTAAAACATGCTAATCTTCCCTCCGTAGTCTCCTTCCTCCCCATTTTTAAGATGAACTGAGTGTAGAAACCAAGCATCCTGACAGTATTTAAACCAGAGTACAACTTGAACATATCAACAGCGTGGTTTATTTTATGCCCATCATAGACTGGTAGGCACAAATTCTTATGGTTTTACTTAAGTGTTCCCCCCAAGTGGAACCTCCTTATTTCTGATGGGGCTGAGCAACCCTAATCACACAAGCCCAACCAGGATCCAAAAATTAGACATTCTCTACTAGGTAGAGGGGCTTGATTTTGTCGGTGTTATAAGGATACTTATCCTATGTAAAGAGTAGTGATTAGTGGTCTGAGCACTTACGCAAAAGATGCCAGACATAAGTTCAGTTTCCTCTTCTGCTCAAGGAAAATAAAACCACCATCTTACAACTCCCAGGACCACGACGTAACAACTAGGATAGGCTATTTTGAAGTGGAACACTCTCTACTAGGCCTGTTCAAAACAGCACCATTTTGTTTCAACTTCTGTTCTGCTGTTTTGAAGGGACAGTGTTTCATTTCGTCATTTTATCTCGTTTCAAAGCACTGTTCTGTTTCGTTTGGTCAAAACCGTTTTGCCATTTCCCCCATAGGCTATAATGGGGAATCATGAAAAAATGTCTATAACTTTATTTCTTGCCTGATTCAGATGAAAATTTCAGGGATAGTAGCCCCTTCTGAGGACATGAAGCCTGCCAAATTTCAGGGAGTTAGGTCTAGGGGTTTCTGGGAAACTGCACCTCAAACTGCTGACAAGCAAAACATCTATCACTTGCCGGCAGCAGCAGCTTCCCATCATCCTGCGTGCAGATGTGGGGGCCTGCAGCCCCGGGAAGGCTGTGGGGCTGAGCTCTGTGGGGCTGGCAGAGCCTCCTGGAGTGCAGCCTTGTTGCGGGAGGAGGCAGAGAGCCAGTGGCGCAACCGCTCCAAGCACAGCTCAGACCCCAAAAGCACAGCCCTGGCCAGTGGCTCTTCCCCGCCTCCCAGTGCCAGGCTGAGCTCTGTGGAACTGCTCAGAGAGCAGCCCTGGCTCCCCCCCGCATCCTGCCACCAAACTGCACTCCAGCTGGCTCTGCCAGCCCCATGGAGCAGAGCCCAGCAGCAGGAGGCAGAGGAAAGTCACTGGCCAGGGCTGCGTTCAGAGCTAGGGCTGCGCTCCAAGCAGCTTCACCACTGTCTCTCCGCTGCTTTCCACTGCCTCCTGCTGCCAGACTCAGCTCCGTGGGGCTGCGGAGCCTCCACCCGCTGGGCTGTGCTCACCAAGGCTCTGCTCCAAGCAGCTCCTCCGTCCCCACAGAGCTCAGCCCAGCAGCAGGAGGCAGCAGAGAGCCAGTGGTGGAGCTGCTCGGAGTGCAGCCGTTGGCTGGTGGCTCTGGCCAGTAGCTCTCCCCCACCTCCCACCACCAGACTCAGCTCCATGGGGCTGTGAAGCTGCTTGAAGCATAGCCCTAGTAAGTACAGCCCAGTGGCTGGAGGTCTCCACAGTGGCCCCTGGTTCTACACAAGGGATGGCAACAGGCTGCCGCTGCCGGCTGGGACTGGTGCTGAAGCCAAGTAAGCCCAGTTTCAAAAACTCAAAATGTTTCAAGTGTCCACACTTCATTTCAAAGGCTATTTTGTTTCACTGTTTCAAGCTAAAAACGCATCCAAACAGCTTCAAAACAAAAACACCCGGTGAAATTTTGCACAGCCCTACTATACCACTCCCATTGGAACAATACCACTGCGCAGAAAAGAATGCAGGATTGACTGGGTCAGAGAGGAAGCAAAGAGAAGGCAATTCAAGTCTAGCATTTGGAGCACTCCCTGGGGAAGGGAAAGTCTCACATTTCCCACATCTTGAGCAAGGACTCTAGCTATTGGAAGGTAATCAAAAAAAGAGTGCTGCCATTTTAAAACAACAAGCCCTGCTCAATCCTTAGAAAGAATCTGTTGGCACCTACCTTCATTATAAGGTTTGAGGTTGCACGTGGGAAATCCAAGACACAAAATTAGAAGAGAAGGGAAGAATTAAAATACCCTCCTGTCCTCTGCGTTTTCGATTCGCTAGCTGCACCCAGAAGTGTGCCACCTCTAGCCTGTTCTCTGTTCAGTGTGATGGCTGTTTTGGATCCCATTCTCAGTTTAATTCCCCTCATACACAGGAAAGACCTTATGTGTTCAAATTCTTTGTTGGATCTAGCCCTAAATCTTTAACTTTACAGTTTTATCTCCTTCAGTGTAACATTTGCAGATCTCCAAAACTGTTACTTTCATGTGCCAAGAGTGGTTCATAGCTGGCAGAGGGTAGATTCAGACTAGATATC